CCGGATTGAGCAGAAACCCACTCCCCACTCCTCCTGGTCTTGAATTTCCGCTTCCTTGGTCTTTCCACCCTGACGGCGCACGCTAGGCAGACATGTTAGACCTTCCAAACTTTGTATTAAAATAAAGTCTGTGCATGTCTTTGCCAAACTGGGCCCCTTTTTGTTCTACTTAGTCTTGACAGTTGCAACCTCCTATGAATCGATGCTGAAGTGCAGTAAGTTGCTTTTCACTATACCATTTGGCAAATGCACGTGGAAATCGCAATTAGCAGGTCTTGGCAGTCCTCAGCAGCCTGGGTAGTCGGCTGGCCCTTCTTCCTCTTCTTGCTCCCTTCCTGCCACAAAGGATTGCCTAACCAAGACCGAAAGATATTGCTCCAAACTTCTTACCAAAGTCTGTACTAAATTGGCCCCCAAAACAAACACTTTGGAGCATACAAGGGGGGGGGGGCCCAGAAAGTCTGCCAATTTGTTTGTTCTACTTAGTCTTGGCATCTGACAACCTCCCACGACAGCAACCGTTCCTACAATCCAACACTCTCAACAAAAACTGAAATGAAGACCCACGTTTTGAAAGTCAGTCTTCCAGCATCTGGTGCCTTTTCATGAGTTTCAGCAGCTTTTGCTTTCCCGCACAAGTGTAACGTTCGCTTGTTTCGGGTGTATGTACATATATATATATATATACATGTATAAGTATACATACATATAGGAGGAATCCACCTGTAGAGCCTTTTGGTGGTTGTCGCATCGCTCCGATTGGGCCCATGGGTGTCAAGACAGTCTGGTGGAAGAAAGCCTAGGTAAAACACCCCCATCCAGCTACTAAACGAGACTCATGCCCCTGCAGTCAGCACCGCCTGCTTTATCCAGCGCAAACCCGGATTGAGCAGAAACCCACTCCCCACTCCTCCTGGTCTTGAATTTCCGCTTCCTTGGTCTTTCCACCCTGACGGCGCACGCTACGCAGACATGTTAGACCTTCCAAATTTTGTATTAAAATAAAGTCTGCGCATGTCTTTGCCAAACTGGGCCCCTTTTTGTTCTACTTAGTCTTGACAGCTGCAACCTCCTATGAAACGAAACTGCAAGGAAAATTACATGCTGAAGTGCATTTTTCTCATTATACTATTTGGCCAACGCACGTGGAAATCGCAGTTAGCAGGTCTTGGCAGTCCTCAGCACTAGCCTTCGCTTGGCTTTTCTTCTTTGTCAGATTGGCCTGACAAGGCACAACAAAGCAGTGGCCTGATAAGGCTGTGAAGACTATGCACTACACAAAGCTTTGCGCCAATCCGAAAGCAAGAGCATACAGGGAGACAAATACCCCAGAGGCAGTCCAAATCCGAGATAGTAACGCACGACGCAGCCGACGTCACTACACACATGCTGCTAGTTAGCTAGTTCTTCTGGTAGAGCATCACTTGGCCCCAGGCTTGCGCTTCAGCTGCTTGAGACCTGGTAGCTACCACCTCCTGGACGCAGCAGTCATGACATCTGAGGGCAACCAAAGCAGCCAAAGAGGAGGAATACTCTTAATATCTCTTAATGTTTTTGACGCTAAATAGCTGAACGCAGGGGTCCTTGAACATCGGAGTGTCCATCAGCTCCACGCTGCTCAGCACCGAGCACAGCACGAGCAAGGCGTTAAAGACATGCATCCCATTTCCAATTCTTTCATGTGGACTCTCGCATACTGTCCTTAGCTTGGCCAGTTGAGGTCTGCCCACAGCCTTGGCAAGTTCCGGCGTCACAGCCCAGCCCATGGCCGCAAACTTCTCGGTAGAAGACAGCCACCTTTGCCGATGAAAGCTCCAAATCCTGGCGCTAGAGGCCAAAAAAGTTGGCAAAGATCCGTCGCTGTGGCCCATGGTCGGATGCTTAATTGGGTGCTGGTTGCAAACAGCCACGGTGCGGTCTGGATCATCGACGCCCATCTCTTTGAAGAGCCCTGCATAGCCACCGTGGTCACCAGTCTTCCCCCACAGCGCTTCCTTCTCATAGGCAATGAGCATATCCGAACTTGGCTGTAATTCATGCGAGACAGGCTACACACGCACACTTCCGCGACTGTCTTGACATATTGAGTTACAAGCCAAACTACTCTAGGCTCTAGAACAGTGCTGCTTGGACACCGCGTCGAATCATGTTCCCACGGTTAAGCACATTCGCATTAAATGGGCCAAGGCGCAAAGATCCCTTTGGCGTGAACTTCCTGAATTGGGTTGCAGTCTTCTTCCTTTCTTCTTTCAGGCCGGCTGCGTCCTCAAACCACAGATCATCCTGCGGAACTTGCCGCGCGGACAGCCTGTCAGAAAGCCGCTTGTAAACGACGTTCGGGTCTTGAAAAAGTCTGTATGGCGGGCTGACCCCCGCAAGCCAGCCGCGGTCGCGGCGGACACATCCATGACCCACGTCTTCCGGCATGGTGATGATATACCGGACATCGCATCCCCTCACGCACTGGCTTATGGCCATTTGAGCTTCAGGGCTGACAACATTCTCCGAAATTCGGATGGGCACTTTGCGATTATGCAGGTCCTGAAAGTGCAGCAGCATGCTCACCACATGTCGGCCGTCTGTTCCAGAACGTTTGCCTTGGGCAGAGTAGTCTTTGCAGACTGAGCCACTGATGTCAAGCTCAACCTGTGGGACAGGACACTTTTTGCGGTGGATCTTGCAATGCGTCGCCGTCAACATGTCCATGTCAGAAATTGCTTTCACCTTCTCTTGAAAAGGCATGTTGAAAATCTTGTCGGGCACCGGCCCATGCTGGACTAGATCAAGAACATCTTCAAACCAGTGATGGTCTTTGTCCACTCCTTTGTCCTTGCTGAACCTTGCGCGGAAGAATTTCCGCGCGTCATCCGAGGTGTCACAACCATACACATAGCGAAAGCGTGCTTGAACATGGGGCTGAAGTATGCATAAAGCTTCCTCTGCGGAACCAAGCCCAGTAAAGCGGCTGCCTACACGTATGTCAGTGTCCTGCCAAAGGAGAGGATGATGCCCGTCCTTGCTTGCCAAATCCCTCAGCTCGGCCATTGCTTCACGCACAGCCGAGAAAGACTCAACCAGAGACTGCTGTGGCAGGCATGCGACATCCCGCCGCTGGAGAGAAGCAATGTTCAAATCCACCGGCAGCGGCCCATGCAAGCCATCTCTTGATGAATGTCTAGTGGGTGTGGTTGTTTTCGGGAACCCATCACCCAACTCTGCATCAGCCTCCTCTGCCCGAGAGTATCTCTTTTTCTTTGGATCCCACACCTCAAGCACTTTGCCAAGATGCAGAGCAATGATATCATTCGTTTTGAAATGTTTCAAGGCATTTGTCCCATGATGCTCCTGCACTTCTTCGAGAGAGGAAACAGAACTGCCCAGCAGCTGTACAACCACATATGGGTCCTTGTTGGACCTCCCATTCTTGAACAATATGTGCTTTCGTTTGGCAACGGTTTGCATTCGCGGGGCATTGTCTCGGAATTCCTTTGTCTTGACACCCTCGACGATCTCGTCAAAGTACACCCGGACAATGCCTAACTGCACCATACCTGGATATGTTCGAGGAAGAGGGAACGGCTCCTGGCGTGTTGCTATTGAAAATGGTTGGCATTAGACTCTGATCAACCTTTTGATGTCAAGAAAACAGACGTCAGCACCTGCAAGGGGGGAAAGCTATGTACATGTCAAGACTGCCGGTCCAAAGACGCCCGAAGCACTGCTCCTCCCACGGTTGAACTCCTGCTTCTGGTGCCTTCGTGGGCTTTTCATCCTCACGCTACCCGAGAGGCCATTAGACATGTTTGACAGTCAAAAACTTCCAAGATTATAGTAAAATCTTTACCAAACTGGGTGCCTCATGCAAAAGGACAATGGATGTCAAGACAGTCGTGGAAGAAATCCTAAGTAAAACATCCCCATCCAGCTACTAAACGAGACTCATGCCCCCGCTGTCAGCACCGCCTGCTTTAGCAACCCGCATTGAGCAGAAACCCACTCCCACTCCTCCTGGTCTTGAATTCCGGCTTCCTTTGCCTCTTCTGGCTTTTCATCCTGACGGTGCACGCTAGGCAGACGTGGGACATTCCAAACTTGGCACTTTACCTGCATCTGCAAGATTCCTTGTGTAAAAACGAAAAAATGTTCACAAGCGAGCCCTGTGAGGTCCTCAGGCGGTGGCTGGGGCGGAGGAGGCAAAGGCGGCTCCGCCCCCTTGAGAAAGATGTTGCTCCAAACTTCTTATGAAAAGTCTGCACTAAACTTGCCAGAAAAACAATCACTTTGGAGCATACAAAGGGAGGGGCCCAGAAAGTCTTGCAGTTTGTTTAATTCTACTTAGTCTTGACATCTGACAACCTCCCACGACAGCAGCTGT